AACATTATTTTGAGAATAAAGAAGTGGGTTGGTAGATTGCTTTACAAATATGTTTTTAGGTTATGGAACAAGGATTAATAATTTTGATAACGTATGAGATAACTTGTTTTATTATTCAAGCTTGCAAAATTATTAAAATGTTACAATGTTCCTAAGTCTCCAGTTTCAAAGGGTTTCTAAAGTTCTATGGTTCTCAAATTTTGTAGTCTGCAAGTTTCAAGTTCCAACATCTCTCAATTCAAAAATTCTAAAATTTCAAAGTTGTAACATCCCTAAGTACTAATGTGTAAAACCTCAGTGTCTCAAAATCTCAAAATCTCAAAATCCCAAAATTGCACGAATCCAATATCTCACAATACCAAGATCTTATATCCCCAAAATCTCACAATCCCAAACTTCTAAATCTTCAAAATTATAATATCCCGTAATCCCAAAGCGTAAAATCTCAAAATCTCAAAACTTCATATCCCAAAATCTCAAAATTCCAAAACTTCATATGTCAAAATCTCAAAATGCCAAAACCTCATATTTCAAAATCTCAAAATCCTAAAACTTCACATTCCAAAATCTCAAAATCCCAAAACTTCACATCCCAAAATCTCAAAATCCCAAAACTTCACATCCCAAAATCTCAAAATCCCAAAACATCACATCACAAAATCTCAAAATTTCAAAACTTCATATGTAAAAATCTCAAAATACCAAAACCTCATCTTCCAAAATCTCAAAATCTCCCAACTCCAACACATCTCCCATCTCCACATCCCGATGTTCCACATCTTCAAAACTCCAAACTTCTAAAATCCCAGAGTCCAAATTAAAAATAACCCATCCACCTTCCAGCCCTCCAACCCTCTCCCTTCACCTCGACTTTCTCCAACAAAAACCCACCTCGACTTTCCCCTGCAAAAACCCACCTACAAACTCGCCTTGTCCTAAACTCAACGTCGGCTCATACCCGTCGCTAATCGCAACCGCGAATATACATGTCGTAAAAAGCATAACCGCTTTGCAGCAGCCGAGTAGAAAGGGGATGTAAGCGGAGGGGTTGCGTACAGCTCGCATTCATAACATCAGACGGGGTAATAAAAGTCAGCGCACCCTGCCGCTCTTTCCGCTTCGACCCCACCACCTTCGACTGGAGAACCGGAGGGATCCTGAAGGCACGTAGGTGAATCAAAAAGCGACCAGGGAAAAACGACGCGGGCCATATTGTTCTGTTGCGATGCTACGTCCTTTGCTTACAAATTTTTCCACGGAAATACACGTGTACCCTTCTCTCTGTAATTAACGATAACGATGAGCTTACGCACATGGCTGAAAGGGTTGCTACGATTGAATTAAGATAAACTGATGACCCTGCTTGAATAAGCTCTCATTCAATATTATTCTCTTTGTTTCTGCATGTGGAGGATGTTACTACATTTTTCTTTATCTCATTTTTTATTTTTTTTTCTTGGTAAATTATATTTGATTATTTATGTACTGCTTTAACGTTTAAGTACTTTAATTTTTTCTTAAAATATTGACAAAGTGAATGTGAGATTTATTGAGTTGCTTAGGCACTCTTTTTCTGTGGATATGGAGAATAACTGCTTGGTGAGGTTAGGTTGGGATGTAGTGAGGTTAGGTTAAGTTAGGATGTAGTGAGGTTAGGTTAAGTTGGAATGTGGTGAGGTTAAGTTAGGAACTTCTCTTAGTCTCTTTATTTCCTCTCATTTGTCAAACTACCTAACAATTTCTTTTCTCCTTAATGATTTAATCATACTAACCTTGTACTGCTGGCTACCTATGATCTACAGTCACTCAAACATCAAGCAAACATTAAACCACTTTTGTGAATTTTTATTTACCTTCTACTTCATCATAAAATCAAAAATGTCCTCAAAATATTATTTTTCTACCTAAACCATTCGAACCTATCCCTAAGAGATTCGTTAATGTAATCATACTCAAAGTTTGTACACTCATAAATCCATCAATCGTCATTAAACACGAGGAATTTCACTTTATAAATCGACGATACAACCTTGAACGGATCAAACGAAATACACGTTGATCGACGCGTTAACGAGTCAAGTTAAGCATCAGGAATTCCGCGTTGGATTCATTAAAACTCTCTGTCCTCGAGGGTGATCCCCGATCGAAGATCACAATAAAACACGTAACCGTGGCCGATTTAAAGGGAAGAACGATCCTATCGTCGGTCACTTTGTCCCCGTGATCCCCCATGTTGTAAACAACTCGTTCCCCTCTGCGATAGGGGTCAAGTGTTTCCAGCCACTTGAACACGTCGGCATCAAAGGGGGATGCCGTCGAAAGAATCGCAAGTATTTCATTTCGGGACAGATTAGACGTATTAGTGACCGACGACACGCTATTTAGACCTGCGACTGCATTCCGCAGGGGTTGCGACGGGGGAATATTATTTTTCCGAAATCGTGTATTTCATGCGGCCTTTTATACACCCTCTCTTTTATGGTCGGTGGACGAATTTGTGGTTGTAAGTTAGGGTGTATGGGTGAGCGGAGGAAATTTTGTAATAAAATAAGATCGCGTTTAATATTCTGAGGGTCTATTTTTGATGTTCTAGGATTTGAGGGGTCTGTATTGTTAAGGTTTTATGTTCCAAGATAATATCTTGATGTTCCGTGGTCTTGAAGTACTGTGTTCTCAAGGTTTCATATTTACAAAATGGCGTACGCTTGAAATTCTTTATTTTAAGGTATAAATCTCTCAATGTTCCATATTTCCAAAGTTCTGAGCTCTCAAGGTCCCATATTCTCAAGGTTCCATATTTCCAAAGTTCTGAGCTCTCAAGGTCCCATATTCTCAAGGTTCCAAGCTCTCAAGGTTCCAAATTTTCAACGCCCCAAGCTCTCAAAGTCCCAAACTCTCAAGGTTCCATATTTCCAAAG